TTTTTTTTTCTTTTTTTTTTTACAGTTAATGGCGATAACTTGTCCAATGGATCTCTTATATCTGTACCTGATCCTGTGGTGGGGGACATATTTATTCCACCCCCTCCCTCCATAGTGGCACCCCCTCCTCCAGGGACTTTTATTCTTCCTCCTCCAGACTTCCTGGGTGAAATGAACGGTCCAGCTCTGGCCAACCTCACCCCCCTGGAAGCATCAACGGGGGAGGAAGAGGATTTTACTCTTCTGAGACCACCACCCATGTCCCCCCCCAAACCTCCGTCCATCTGCTCCACTGGCTCGTCATCCTCCATCCCCAGATGTAGTCCACCTTTAGATGTTGTTCCAGACCACCCCAAATTTGCGCCTCCACAGCCGCCCGCTGAGAAGCTGCAGAGATCCGTCAAGTCGCCGCCCCCAAAGCCGATCAGAATGTCCTCCATCTCCAACTTTGACCCCCCACCACAGACTCCTGCCCCGCCTCCCCCTGTGCAGACACCCACTCGCTCCACCTTCAATCCCCAAAACACAGCAAAACTTTACCACGTTCCTAAGACCAGTTTTCTCGGCAGCTTTGACAATCGTGATACAAAACCAAAGCAGACGTTGGTCCTGGAAGATTCTGGATCTGTGACCTCGACCCCGCTGAAGGTCCAGACGGATGGGAAGGCCGTGACTGTGGTCTCACCACCGGAGCCTGTTTCAGAAGACACACGAGACCAAAAGGGGAACAAACGACAAATAACCCCTGAGCCCCCCCACCCTGTCGTAGTCACCACTCAAACAGAGACAAATCCAGCACCGCCTGAACGTCCACAGCTGCAGACTCCACCGCGAAGGTCACCTGAGCCCAAAATGACCAACAGTCTGGACATAAACTCACCGTCTAACACGGAGGAGCTTAGAGGATCTCCAACCCCGATTTGCAAATTTAGTCCTTTAATAGATCGTAAGTTACGCAATCTGAAAAATAATGACAGCGGTGCAACACGAGACGCTCCGGCCGCCTCTCCTCTGGCTCTTCTGATGGCGGCTAAGAAAAGAGAGAAAGACAGATCTTCTCACTCACTTTCACGAGAAAACAGCGACAAGAGAGGCGAGCAGCCAAGCTCAGGCGTCCTGAGTGCCAGTTCGTTGATGGACGTTCCTCACTCCAGCTCCTGCTCCTCTCTCACATCCACAGACCGAAATAAGGACAGTTTGAATTCTGGACAGATGACGGTTCAGACACAAGAAACGTCAAACAGACGTTCTTTGGTCAATGACCCAGGGCAAACAGCCGGTCCGGTTCAGAACACAAACAGACGTTCTTTGGTCAATGACCCGGGGCAAACAGCCAGTCCGGTTCAGAACAGTATCAAAGCAGCTGCACCTGCAAGTGCGGCCAACCTGGTTGGTCCAAAACAAAATCTAACAAATCGAACCCCCCCAAAGACTCAGTTCACACAGCCTGAGGAAACGGAGGAGGCAGTTTTGCCAGTACTTCCTCCACCACCAGAGTTTGATGATTTAGAGGAGTTCATGGAGCCCCCTCCCTCCATTCTTCCACCTGATCCTCCCCTGAAAAAGCCACCACCACCACCCCCCAACCTTCCACCTCCAGCTCCATCTTTTCCAAACCTCACACCGACCGTAATTCCAAAAGCCCCTCCTCCTCCCATAGACATCAAACCAAAGCCTAAGGTCCAGATAAAACCTCAAATGCCCCCCAACCAACTCCCCACCCCTCTTTCTCCAAAGCAGGCCACACTTCTGAGCATCCTACAGAAGAAGATGTTGGAAATGGACCACAGGATGGTTCCAGTCAAGGAGGCGGAATCAGCCTCTGACGACTGGGGCAGCCCCTTGTCAGACGAGGAGGGTAAGATTCCTGCCATTCCTAAAACCCCACCACTGAGTAAGAATTACCCTGTGGTCAACAAGGCAGCAACTCTGGACATGAGAGAGTTAGAAGGGAAAATGGCCAAGAAGAACCAGGAGATGTTCTCTACAAAAGCTGCCACCAGGTGAAACTTCCAGTTCTTGGCCGCGATGCCTTTACAGGACGTCTGAACTTTTGGTGTCGACTCGTAATCCTAACACGTCTTTCTGTCTTTTCCAGTAATGGACCTTCAAAACAGCAGTACGGTATGACCTTCAAAATCCGACCTGGATCCAGTCAACCCATTACTCCGATCGCTCGACTGGAGACCTGATGGAGTACGTGTACAGTATGAAGTACGTAGTATTTTGCATCAGCAGAACAGCACAATGGGAAGAATGCACTTTAAACAAATCACTGACAATAATGACCAACAAACCAGGAACATATTTGTTATGTTGTGGTTATATTTAGGGATGTCCGATAATATCAGCCCGATATTAGCATAATTATGTAACATCTGTAAGAATCATTGTCTGGTTTTCCTCCTATAATTAAAACACGATAACGCAATGTCTGGGTTTTTGCCAAATATATTGGAATCGCTTGTAGAGTCCTGCAGTTTTTAATATCGGAATCAGAAATTAAGTGTTTGGACAATATCGGTATATCGACTAAAAGGTAATATCGGACATCCCTAGTTGTTTTCTATCAGTTGTGAGTTGTACATATGCCACCAGTGAATGCCTGGTCTCAATGGCTGATGGGTAATATTCATAGTCACAGGGAAAAAAACTGATCTTCATCAGTCAATCATCTTCATCTTCATCAGTCAATCTCAGTCATAAACATTTAGCTGAATGTAACCCCAATAATTCAAATAATGTGCTACAATATTAATTTGACCTCTGACCTTCATCTTTTACTGCAATGTTATTCACTGTTACAGGACACATACTGTATGTAGGTCCAATTGAGCAAAGCTAACAGTTAAAGCTACAGTGCGCAACCTTTGGTTGTTTTCAATACTGTTGATGTTTTTTATTCTTATGCTGCTGTTTCTTATTTAATAGAATCCAGGGTTTCTGCTCTGCTTAATTACTGCTGCAACTACTGTATGGTCTATATGTGACTGTTACTGTCCCCGAAAACCGCCTTAAACTTCATGAGGTCATGAATGGCCATGACCTCATGAAGTTTAAGTGTTTATCTCATTAGCTATCTGATGAAGTTGGCTTGATTTTGGTAATAGCGCTGTCACCGGTGCCCCAGGAGTTTTCTCGTCAGTGTACCGTCGGTGTGTTTTTAGATGTAACAGAATGCTGTTGTGCTCCTGCTGGACTCACTGTGGACATAATCACTTCCTGTGTGCACGTGCAGCCGTTTCAGGCTGGTTTCAATGGTACAGACTCGACACAGACTCTTTTTCACACTGCAGCTTTAGCTCAGACGAGTGTCATGACACACTGATCTCACCAGTGGTTGGTTCTCAGATGTTTTCATTTTTGTGTCATGACACACTGATCTCACCAGTGGATGGTTCTCAGATGGCGTTTTTATGTGTTTTTATGTCCTATTTACAGAAGTAAACTGTACTTAGTCCCCAAGTCCAATCAACATATCTATTCTTCACAATTACTTGTTTGTTTGTTTCCTGGTGTAAAATACAATGGACTGGTTTCTAACTAAATCTTGAGGGGAAAAAAAACAGTTGATCTTTGTGTAACATTTTTTATTTAACAACTCCCCGCCCTGTTATGCAATCATGTCCAGCCTCTCCTTAATTTGACAGCAAATCAAGCATTGATCTCATGGTGTAACAATGTTTCCTGGTTTCCTGTAATCAAAACTCAACTCAAAACTCTATCAAAGTGATGCCTTATCATTGTAAATGTTGTTTTCTACTATCAATCTACAAGCAATCATCAACGGGACAGACTTATTTAAATAAAAAAATAAAAACAAGCACAAAATAAATGATTAGTATTTCATTTGGGTTTTTTTGTTTGTTTGTTTGTTTTTTCAATAGAATAAAAATTTGCATTAAATGAAACTTCCTGGTCAAAACAGTTGGTACACTAATATGTTGTTTGGTAATGCATTTTCCTACATAGAAAAAAAGGTTAAAGATAACAAAAAAATAAAAGTTAGAAAAAAAATTACTTACAGGAAACCAACTAAATCCTTAAAACAACATGTATTAGAGCACGTTCGTATGACCGTCATCCACGTCAGTGTCAAACCAGTGACATCTTACCTGACACTGACGCAGCAAATCAACACTGTCAATCCTCTTAACGTCTAAGCTTCCCGCCCACTCAGATCACACATGACCATATAATACACGGGCAGGGATGTCACGATTAGTCGATATTACAATTAATTATGATGACACCTAATATTAAGCTCTACGGTTAATATTACAATTAATTATGATGACACCTAATTAATATTAAACTCTACGGTTAAGTTATCGTAACGTCTCCCTAATACTGTCAGAAAAATAAAATGGCGGAACTATAGTTAAGCGCAACTCAAGCGGAACGAAAACAAAGCTACACAACACCGGCGCGTTTACCGCCGTCTGTGTTGGAGATAATGACAGAAGAGTTATTTCCTCGAACCGTTTATTAAATCAGCCGTGTGGGATTGTTTTGGCTACAAAAGAAAATGACCAGGGTGCGGCCGTTAATGACGGCTTGTCAGCATTTAAAGCATGCCATAAAATTGCGGTTAAAGGAGGGAATACATCCGACATACTGTATATCATTAGCGGCGGGACATTGCTCGCCAAAGTAAAGGTAAATACGCATTATACATTATACACACGTTTTCATAACGTGACATTGAATCCATAGGACATTAAATGTTAGCGTGTCATTTGCAATTCATTGTTTACGAGTACGACACGGGTTCGGCTCTCAGATTCTGAAGCGTCAAAGGAAGAAGGAAGAATTATTGTAGCATTAAACGTTTATTTTGAATTGCTTTCCATCTGCTATCACATGACTGTATCCTACAGTGTGGAACAAAGGACAAAAAGACAGAAGGTACGGAGAGAGAGAAAGAATTTACAGAATAACTCAGCTGAACACGGTGTGCACTGAAGTGAAGAACTGTAAACTGAGACTTTTCAGTCGACAACAGACGGCTCCTCACTGACACATTAGCTGTGATTTTTTGATATGCATAGACTGTAAATAAGAAATGGGGGTTATATGATTTGTTAATACCAAAACCAACAAAAGCATTTTGCCACTTTTTTTACCAGGGCTCCACTTTCTGCTGTAAAAGACCTGGTCCATTTCTTATATACAGTCTACAGTAACAAGTGGTGTGTTGGAGTCTAAGAAGAAGAGTCTCCAGAGGGTGGAGCCACTGTGTGGTGGAGGACTAGATGATCCCAGCCCACAGTTGTGAGGGAGTTTGAGCCCCCATGCTGCCAGCACACACCCTTGACAAAGTCCTGATGTCTCCGATCTCTCAGTCTACAATGAAGACAAGAAAATAGGGTGTGTTTTCAACTGTACAGGACACTGAGTAACTTGTGGTTTTTTTTTGTTTTTTGTTAGACTCACATTTCATTGAGTTCGGAGTTCAAAACAACCAAAGAGCAGTCGTCACTCACTGTGGCCAGGAAGGGGGCGCTGCAGTGGAAAGTCAATATTATGTTAAGGAGCAGCAAAGGATGGAGTTTTAAACAATACTAATAATATTTATATCATAATGTTATAAACCTGTGTGTGGAGAAGGCCAGTCTGTTGACTCTGCGGCTGTGAACGTTCTTCACTTGAACTGGCTCTGATCCCAGGAAATCCTTCACAGATACTCGACCAAGCTCGTCACCTGAACCACAATAAACGTTACTTGAAAATAAATCCAGAAAAAAAAAATCAGAGTCTGCGGAATATAGATTTTACCAATTGCAATGGTGCTCCTGTGGTGAGGGTGCCAGGCTACAGCGGTAGGTGAGGAGATGAGGCGGTCGAGGTCAAGAGCTAAACACAAAAATCAAATATGTAAAACCTCATTTTACTAAAATCCCAGACCTGTGTTATCAACCTCATTACCAGTTGGTTAACCTGAGACTAGCAGCTCACCTATTCGTGATGCGGGTTTGTTTGGTTTCCTTCTGTCCCACATCAGCACACGACCATCCTTCAGAGACAAATATTAAATATATTAAATACAGCAGAATGATGGATTTGTCCATAAGCCAAGCACTTTTCACAGATTTAAAACTTAATCTATTTTCCCATGTTTCAACTTGTCTGTGTGTTGGATGTAGAAATCTTACTTGACCACAGGAGACGAACAGAGACTCCTCTGTGGGACTGCAGGCAACACATGTGACTGGCTGTGTGTGAACTGGAGGGGAAATTAATTCAGAACCATTAAAAAAAGTCATAAAAAATTACATTTAATTTTTTTTTTTTACAGGAATAAATCAGTGTTTTTCTTACCATTGAATGTTGTGACAACTGTCTCCTGACACAGATCCCATACGTTGATTCTGTGGTGAAATATTAAATAAATACATAATGAGTGTTGTTAAAACATCAAGTTACTTTGACCGGAATACACTGTAAAGATGAAGTAAAACATTTTCTTTTTCATAGTTTTTCCAGAGTCTAAGTGAATCACTGTCTGACCTGCAGTCCATGCTGCCTGTGACAGCGTTGCTCCCTCCAGTGACGGGACTCACAGAGGTGACAATGTCATTGTGCTCGTGTTTTGTGAAGCGGTTCAAGAGCAGACCTTCTTTGTCCGACAGCTCCCAGAGTTCCAGAGCACCTGCCCGGTCAAACAAATGCACTTCTAACTGCAGTTCTCACAAATGTGATGAACTAACGCAGAATAAAAACGTCTTACCTGAATCCGATGCAACAAGAAACCCGTTTTCCTTCACCCAGCTGACATCAGTGACCCCAGCCTCAGTTTGAACCCCAGCTTTACAGGAACCCTCAGCGGGGGCCTGAGTGGGGTCGCTGTAGATCCACAGTGACCCCTGCCAGCTTCTGCCAGAGAGGCTGGAGGCACCAAGCAGCAGACTGCCATCTGAGGAAAGTGACAAAAAAAGAAAAGAAAAAAAAACAACCTCATTATGATTCAAATAAAGGTGTGAAAAAAGACAAACCTGGATACTGATCATTTACCACGTATAACAGCTAAAAGAGCTCTGAATGTGGGTTTTTTTTCATTCTACGTCACATATTTTATATACATAATTTCTAACTTTTTCCGCTAAAATGACGCCACCTATAAACCGTCGACTGTTGTCAACAATTTTAAGACAAGAGTGGATTTTATTATTATTTATATAAACAGTCACATTAACAGCGGCACCACGTGTTTTCCACAGCAACATTCAGCTAGCCTGTGTCGCTGCTGCTTCTTCTTCTTCGTTACCTGCTCTGTACTGAGCGGCACACAGATGTTTTTCCATGCTGGCCGGAGCATTGGGTTGTACGTTCCACGGGTTCTCCTTGACCATGTTGCCGTCTCCCGCTCCTTTCATTCGGAGAGCACTTGTAGGTGATGTCGGCGTAAAAAAACTTCTTCTGCAGCTAGCGCCACTGTTCGCTAGCAGTTGCGTCACAAATAACGTGTATCTGCGAGTTACCAAAAAAAAAATGCCGAACGTATTCTCTTGTGAAAACACACCGGTCTGTAAACGAACACAGTATGAATAAATGACAAAGTTGTTCTTTCTAAAATGAATGGATGGATGTGTGAACCTGCAACGCACGGAGTCTGACTCGACACTTCCTGTTCCGGGTCTCATTCTTCTTCGCTGTTGTAGTGCCACAAAAATCCTAAATTTAATTAACTGTAACATTTCACAAAATACAAAAAGGAAAAGGTTTGATACATTTTATACATCTTTACATTTATCGGGTGAATTAGTCATTGTTTAAGTAAAACTAAACTGCAAACTTTTGAAGAAGCGCCATAAACATCGATACGACTATTTCCCAACACACACTCGATTAACCGTTTGTAACAGTAATTTGACAAAACAACAAATAGTTGAATTATTTTAGCATACAACTCTGTAAAGCTGGACCTTTTCCAGCTGACGAGGGCCGTTTGTACAGTTAAGTCCCTCATAGCCACATCAATTTATAGTCTCCAACTGAATAAAACCCATGTCTATATATATATTTATCATTTGACTAGCAAATAAAATTCACATTTAAACGATGGCAGTAGTGCAGTGTATGTAAATACGTGTAAGAACTGTAATAATACTACAGATTTACAAAGACGTACAGAAAGATGTTAAAAATGTATTGTCTCAATTAATATGAATATATTGATCGATATCTATCAATCTTTCTATGTTGTATTCATATATCCCCTAGCTATTTTACATTATTCCAACCATTACATATATCGCAAAGAAAACGCCTTTTGGAAAGATGTGACTAGTCAGAAGCAATTTTAAATGCGCAACCACTTGGAGCGCCTGAGTTTTGTTTTTTTTTGTTACCCTCACAGCGGTAAAACAGTAAAACTAAATACAGTTAACAGGAACTGGGGCGCAACCATTTTGTTGTCGCTGCCGTCGTTTATGTAAAATCGCGTGTGTGTCAGTGATTTGTTTGACAAAACTTAATTGGTCTTCATAATGTCACCTGTACTTCAAGCGAGTACATCAGGAAACGGGAGGGTACGACGTGTACGTTTACGTTATATGTACGTTAACGAACCCGCTCGTGCTCTTATTTTGTAGGCGCACAGACGGAAGTGGCTTTCGAATTGGTGCTGGCTTCACATGGGTGCCTCCTAAAAATCGATAAGTGATTGGTTTTTGCAGATCGTAAAGATTAAGTGGGTCCCGTGACAGCAGGTAAGCACTGGTTATTGTGAGGAGATAGACGTGGAGTTTACTGCACCGGATGTCACCCGTGCATTTTTAACTGCAGCTGTGCAACGTTGCAGTGATGCCTTTGTCTGTAACGTTGACTGATGCGGAGGGCTAGTGTGGCTAACGTTAGCTGGGCTGCGTTACCTGTCCACTGACACAGGAGGAAGAGGAGGAGGAGGAGGAGGACAGCTGCTCCTCACTGCTGCAGCAGCTGCTGCTGCGGTACTATCTCGGTCTTCATCAGTAGCTGCTATTGCATTTACATAAAGTCAGACCTGGAAATGCCAGCACTATGACTGACTGTCAGTACAGGTGACAACAGTCGGTAGTTGGTGCTGTGACTGAAAAACGAAAACGGTCTCAGAGATTTAGTGCATTTTTTTAATTGTACAATAATAATAAAAACCCCCAAAAAACAAAACACATTCATTTTAAATAATTGATGAAACTTCTCCTTCCCTTTCCTCCTTGCAACGGACATAAAGGTGTAAATATTGTTTCAGCAATTGACTGTATGTTATGAGTATCAAGGTGTATTCTCACTGCAGAAAGAAAAAAAAAGTAAAATGTTTAACTCAAAGAAATACATGTGTGGGTGTGTCAAACGGAAGACAAAAAGTGTGCAACAGTACTAATAAAAATGTTGTCAAAATGCTGTCATCAACATAAGCCTTTATTTTTTTTAATTTGGGTTAATTTGCAGAATAAAGTGTAATAAGGAATAATAATGAAATAAATGTAAATAATGAATATGTTTTGGTGGGGCATTGTCAGTCAGGCATTTTGTCTGATGAAAGTTAGGAGTGTGACGCTAAAGAAGTCGATCATTATTTTCATATTTTGTTGAATGCAGTCAGGAAATAAAACAGAAACATCTATGTACAGTAAGAGGCTGAAACCTGGGTATGAAGCAGCATAAATCAGATAAAAAACAGTAAGGATGTGGTAAACAACATTCAGCAACATTCACTTTATCGAATCATCCTAAAAGTTTCGAAGCAGCCTTTGGTTTTGTGATGTAACTGTAGCTGTAGCTGTAGTGGTGAACCAAGGAGACCTAAGAACAAACAACAAGGTTTTAGATTAATCCTATTTTTAAATATATATATTTATATGTTTCAGTTTTAATATGGAAGTGTTAAAAGAACACCTTTTGTCACAGTAAATATAGTTGCACTAATATATTAAAAGAGCGAACGAACTTAAAACAACGGTTTCCAGCCTGTACCGTCTCCAGGTTCCTCCATCATGACCCACAGTAGACACACCTGACCTGTTCACCTCAGCACAGAATGAGGTGACTTACCTGATCTGAATAGAAATCAGATTCCCCTGTGTACCACAAGAGGGAGCCACCGAACCACTGACTCTATCACTGTATGGCCAACAATGTAGAAAGAAAAAAAAAAACCAATAACTTGGAGACAGAAGTTTCCAGCTCTTGAAGCTAAAGGTTAAATTTAGAAAATTAAAGTATTTATTGTTTTGAATTTCAGAAATAATTGAGTTGTTTTTTTTAATCACGTGACACCAGTTCTCTGTTTGCACTCATTTTCTCTGTACTGTTGGACAATGTTCACTCACCTGACTATAATTGTCCGTAGGGATTGGCCATGGCCTTGAAAAGGAGACGGACGACTTCTCCTTCTAGCAGTGTGAGTGCTGGAGATTTTGACGATAACCAAACTTCATCCTTAGTGTCTTCAATTGGGAGAAAGAGGAGAAGGACCTCAAACATGCCAACTGTGGATCCTGTAATTTTATAAATTTAAGTTACTTTGATAATTTTTTTTAACCTAATGCCTACAATTAAGAGATGTTCAAAGCAGCTGATGATGATTTGATGACGATTCAATATTTTCTCAAAAAACATTCTTTGCAGATCGCCGTCTGTCACGAACTGTACAACACAATCAGAGATTATAAAGACGACCACGGCAGGATGCTGTGCGAGCTGTTCATCAGAGCGCCGAAGAGAAGGTGAGGAGAGCGGCAGGCCGTTATTTATAGAAGCCGTGGAAAACGATGACATTCACACGTCTGTCATCTCCTCAGGAATCAGCCCGACTACTACCACGTGGTGTCACAGCCTATTGACATGATGAAAATACAGCAGAAGTTGAAGATGGAGGAGTACGACGATGTGGTGCAACTGACCAGTGACTTCCAGCTGTTGTTCAACAACGCCAAAACATACTACAAGGTAAAAAATAAATAAATAAAAAAATGAAACATCATGAGAATGTCCACCAGAGACCAGTGAAACCGTGTGCTTGTGTCCAGTCTGACAGTCCAGAGTACAGGGCCGCCTGTAAACTGTGGGACCTGTACCTGAGAACCAGGAATGAGTTTGTTCAGAGAGGGGAAGATGATGATGATGAAGAGGAGGATGGTTATGATGCACAAGACAATCCTGGAGGAACGAACGAAGATGAGGTGACAGTGACTTTTCATGTTTTGCTTTACTGATTTGTATCACAAAGAAAAAAACCCACAGATTACACCCTGAAAGATATGGAAATTACTGTTGCTGGGCAGATTTGATGACCTGGCTCATTCATTAGTCTCAGACTGCCTTTTTGACGCCTCTTTTAATATTGATAATCAACAATGATCTCCTGTGTTTCTGGGTGACCGCAGGCATGTGTTTAATTAAAAAAACATTTTCAAATTACTTCATTTTTTTTATTATTTTAAACCAACCTTTCTGATAATCAGCTTTGCATCAATACAAAAATGTTAAGTCCAAGTTTAAATTCTAATGCAGGGAGACATGCTTCAACCTTCAGTTAAACGCCATTAAAAGTCAATTAAATGTTCTATATTCTGTTTGCTGTGCACTCCCCCTGCTGGATGTTATTGGAACAGAACACTCCCACCAGTTTGAAGGAGGTCCTTGAGCAGCTGCTGGATGCTGTGGTGTCCTACACCGAACCCACCGGTCACCTGGTGAGCGAGCTGTTCCAGAAGCTTCCGTCCAAAATGGTACCAGCGTGCGCCGCGTCACACATTAGACGTTGTTGACTTTGACGTTGTTGTTGATTTCCTTCTCATTTACCTTTTTTTTTCTGTCTCCATTCAGCAATACCCAGACTACTACGCCATCACCAAGGAACCCATTGACCTGAAAATCATCGCTCAGAAGATTCAGGTCGGCACTTTTACCTGCATCGTTCATTAAATCGTCTTATTAATTTAAATCATCAGCTTCATGTTGTTGTTTAATGAATGGATTTTTTTTTTCTTTCTCAGCTGGGTCAGTACAGAAGTGTCGGTGCGATGGCCAAAGACATCGAGTTACTCGTCAAAAATGCCAAAACCTATAATGAGCCTGGATCACAGGTGTTCAAGGTGAGAGTGCTCACGATGATGATGATGATGATGATGATGATGATGATGTCACGTTTAAAAAAAAAATTAAATATGTCGTATGTTGTAGGATGCCAACACCATCAAAAAGATCTTCATGCAGAAGAAGTCTGAGATAGAACACGGAGAACCCATCAAGTCCAGCATTCGAATCAGGTAAAAAGAAAAGGAGTTTTAGAGTGAAGTAATAAAAAAAAAGAACTCTTCTTCTTCTCCTGACCGGCGTGTTTTGCTCAGAAATAGAAGGTCAGCTCAGGGAGACCGCCTCTCAGCGATCACCATGGCTCTCCAGTACGAAAGTGACGAGGAAGGAATCCTCTCAGGTACGTCTTCATCTGGATATGAAACCAAAGTACTCAGAGTATTACTTTAACTTTCACGTACCGAATACCTGCCTCATCTGGATATGAAACCAAAGTACTCACAGTATTACTTTAACTTTCACGTACTGTTTCTCAGGGTCTGTTCACTACTACGAAGGTGAATCGGAGGCCGAGAGCTTCACCTCCAACATGGACATGAACAACCCCGTCTTCCAGCTGTACGAAGCCGTGCGGGGGGCCAGGAACGGTCAGGGGCAGCAGATCTCTGAGCCCTTCTTACAGCTGCCCTCCAGGAAGGACTACCCCGACTACTACCAGCAGATTAGCCAGCCCATCTGCCTCCTCCAGATCAAGTAGGTCACCAGGACCACAAACGTCCGCCTCAAAGAAAGGAGAAAGTTGAGGTTTTTCATTTCTCTCTCAGGTCGTCCTCAGTGACGTGGTTTCTTCCTTTTTTTTCCACAATGTTTGAAACTAAGTAACTTAGAGGAACCACATATTCCTTAATATGAAGGGATTATTAAAATACTATCTATCTATCCATCATCTCACTGAAGTGAAATGATTGGAATATTGGAAATATTTACAAAACCTAATTCCAAAAATGGAGGTCGACTTACACTAAAACTCTGTCAACTTTTCTAAAGATCAGAGAGAGTTTGGTTGTTGTTTTTTCATGAAGTTTTCTATTTTTTTCTTCTTTTTTTTTTTACTTTTTCTTTCCCCAGGAACAAGATGAAGAACAATGAGTACGAGAGCGTGGAGCAGATGGATTCAGACCTGACGCTCATGCTGGAGAATTCCAAACGCTACAACGTTCCCCACTCCTCCATCTACAAGCGAGCGCTGAAGCTCCAACACATTCAGCAGGTCAGGACCAAGTCACGTGACGTGTGTTTTCATCTTATCAGACAGTGTTTTTGTTTGTGTGATCGTGGTTCACATTTCAATGTGGTCGTGTGTTCAGATGAAGAGGAAGGAGCTTCTGCAGAGAGACGACGACGACGGCGACAGCATGCTGTCCTCAGCCACGTCTGACACCAGCAGCACCAAAAGGAAAAGGTGAATTCACTGAGGTCAGATGTTTGTTCTGGTGTTATGGATTGGCCGCTGACTCGTCCTCGTCTCTCAGTCACAAGAAGAACACGAAGAAAAACCGGATGAAGACGCTCCTGGCTGCAGTGACGGAGGCGCGGCAGGCCGGCACCGGGCGGAGACTCTGTGACCTGTTCATGGTCAAACCTTCAAAGAAGGACTACCCCGACTACTACAAGGTCATCCTGGAGCCCATGGACCTGAGGACCATCGAGGTAAACATTCGCTCGGACAAGTACATGACCGAGGACACCATGATAGAAGATATGAAGCTGATGTTCCGAAATGCCCGGCACTACAACGAGGAAGGCTCTCAGGTGAGGGCGAAGTCGTCGATTAACCATTGATTACTTTCTTCCATGCCCCCCTGTGGCTGGCACCAGCATTACGCATACAATCCCTAGATTATCAAAATCGATTAATAAAATGAGCTACAATGCTGCCCCCTAGTGACGTTCACTTAAAAACAGTTTTTAGTGCACACATCATTTGGTGAAACCTAGGCATTGCGTTATTGGGTTTTCATCGGAGGAAAAACCGATAATTTCTACAGATATTGGCTATAATTAAGCTAATATCGGTCAGCCTATTTAGTCGGCCAAAATTATCGGACATCCCCAGTTTAAAGACCTCAGTCCTGTGCTCAATTAGGTTTTTGTTTAACTCAAAAGTATCCCAACCAGTTTCTGAATGAATGGAGAAGAAAACACAGACAGGGGGCAGCATCCCTGCTCATAACACTACTTCCTGTGTCCTGTCAACAGTAACCAAGGCCGTGTTTAGATGATTCAACGAGAAAATACTGAATTCTCCGCCTTCTCCTTTTTTTTTTTTTTGGATTAAGGTCAACAACGACGCCGATGTCTTAGAGAAGATCATGGAAGACAGACGCAGAGATCTCGGCCCGGTGACTGATGATGACGACATTATGTCTCCCAAGTTGAAAATAAGTAGGTCATCCTGTATTTTCTGTAGCGTTTTACTGTGTTTCTGTCAAGCAACTACAGTCATGGACCAAATACTCTCTATTTGACTGTAGGGAAGAACAGTATTACTCTGAAGAAGTCCAAGTATTTAACGCCGTTACAACAGAAGCTGCATGAACTTTATGAGGCCGTGAAGAACTACACAGACAAACGAGGCCGCCGCCTCAGCACCATCTTCCTGCGGTTGCCGTCCCGTGCCGAGCTGCCTGACTATTACCTGGCCATCAAGAAACCCGTGGACATGGAGAAGATCAAGAGCCACATGTTGGCCAACAAGTACCAGGATGTGGACGCTCTGGTGGAGGACTTCGTCCTCATGTTCAACAACGCCTGCACGTACAACGAACCGGAGTCTCTGATCTACCGCGACGCCCTGGTGCTGCACCGGGTGCTGTTAGAGACCCGGCGTGACCTGGAGGGCGGCGACGACGCCCACGTTCCCGACGTGCCCCGCCTCATCCAGGAACTGATCCGCAGCCTGTTCGTGTCGGTACTCGGACACCAAGACGACGAAGGCCGATGCTACAGCGACTCGCTGGCCGAGATTCCTGCGGCAGATCCCGCAAATCCAGAAAAGCCGCAGCTGAACTTTGAGATAATCAGGAAAAACGTGGACCAGGGACATTACAAGAGGCTGGACGTGTTTCAGGATCACATGTTCGAAATGCTGGAGAAGGCCCGGCGTCTGAACAGGTGAGTCATCGTCAGACTCCAAACCCCGTTGGTCGTCCAATCATTTCAGAGTTTTCGATCATTGGTCGATTTTTTGTTTTCACCGCAGGACCGACTCTGAGATATTCGAAGACGCGGTGGAGCTGCAGCACTTCTTGATACGGATCAGGGACGAGCTGTGTAAGAACGGAGAGATCCTGATGTCTCCGGCTCTCAGCTATTCCTCCAAACACCTGCACAGTGATGTGGAGAAGGAGAAGAAGGAGAAGCTCCCCAAGGAGTTTGAGGAGGACAAGGTCAAGAGGGAAGAGGAGAAAAAGGGTGGGCGCAGTATTCTACGGTCGTTTCTGCAGCACACGCTGGTCTCAAGTGGTTTTTAAAATGGTACGTTCTGTGACTCCCCAGAGGCCGAGAAGAGCGAGGGCTCTGGCGGGGGGGCGTGGCAGTCCAACCTGCATCGCACCTACAGCCAGGACTGCAGCTTCAAGGACAGCAGGTACCACGTTGGAGACTACGTGTACGTGGAGCCCGCGGAGCCGCACCTCCAGCCACACATTATCTACATCGAACGCCTTTGGGAAGACGACACTGGTCAGTTACACCACACTCGTCATGAAGTTCGTTAATGTTCAGTTTTTTAAACACCTATTTAATTTAATGAAAACTCAAATTCTAAATTAATAAAAAGTAAGACTGAAAAGATGTTTTGAAAGGGTTTGTCACTCGGTAGCAGCAGGGATGTCCGATAATATCGGCCGACAAAACGGCTGTACATGAAAGTGAAAGTCACTAGGTGGCAGCATTGCAGCTCATTTTATTAATCTATATTGACAATATAGCCTTTAGGCTAGGGAGTTCCGATAATTTCTGCCCGATATTAGCAAAATTATGTTACATCTGTAAGAGTGGTTATCGTTTTTTCCTCCGACAATGAAAACCCGAAAACGCAATGCCTGGATTTTGCCAAATGATTTGTGCACTAAAAAAATTTCACGCAATGCCTGGGTTACGCCAAATGATTTGTGAACTAAAAAATTTTCTTTAAGTGAAAGTCACTAGAGGGCAGCATTGCAGCTCATTTTATCAATCGATTTTGATAATCTTGGAGATTGCTGCAGCTCATTTTATTAATCCATTTTGATAATATGGGAATTGTATGCGGAATGCTGGTGTCAGCAACTGCCAGCCACAAGGGGGCATTGGAGAAAAAAATTGGTCAGCAACTGCCAGCCACAAGGGGGCAACACTGCTTTAACCCAAGTGTTTGGACAATATCGGCATATCAGATATATATGGCAAAAAGTTAACATCGGACATCCCCTACTCAGCAGGTATCGAGATCGGGTACAGTCTCAGCTTTGAAATGTTTGCTTTTGACAGACCTACCTCAGACTCTATGAAGACTTCATCTGTTGTCGGTCAGTTGTTCCTGTGTGTCTTAACTACAGGGGAGAAGTGGTTGTACGGCTGCTGGTTCTACAGACCAAATGAAACGTTCCACCTGGCTACCAGAAAGTTCTTGGAGAAGGAAGTCTTTAAGAGCGACTACTACAACAAAGCTCCCGTCAGCAAAATCCTGGGGAAATGTGTGGTCATGTTTGTGAAGGTGAAGTTCTCCGATGTTCTCTCCACCGCGTGTGTGAGACGTCAAACCGCAGCAGCTGACGGGGTAAATGTTCCTGTGGTTTTAGGAATACTTCAAACTTCACCCAGAAGGCTTCAGACCAGAGGACGTCTACGTTTGCGAATCGCGCTACTCTGCCAAGTCCAAGTCCTTCAAGAAGATCAAACTGTGGGCCATGCCCCTGAGCTCGGTCCGCTTCGTGCCCAGAGACGTTCCGCTGCCCGTGGTCCGAGTGGCGTCCATGTTTGCCCCCAAACAAGAAGAAAAATCCCCGGAGATAGAGGAGGACAGCAAAATGATAGACGCTCTAGTGGACAAGGTGAATATGACACAGTAAAACGTACTGTATAAAATAAACCTGGGTCGTCGCATTTAACACATTTACCAGGAGTATTAATTAAATTAAAATGAATATAAAATGATATATTTTTC